AACCTGGAACCCGTGAGACTTCAGCAGCAGTGTCGCTCAGTTTCCTCTTCAGAAGAGCATTTTACTTTGAGCAGCCGTATCTTTGAGTTTGTCTAGGTAAAGTGTTATCAATAATGGCAGCAAGTTCAATAGCGTGGTATTGGCTACCTGGAATAATGTCCAAAGCTCTCTCGGTTGCTGGATCGTCATAGCCGAAAAAATGAGTAGCAAGAGGAGTCCCATTTTGTGGGTTATAAAGCTCTGCCAACCAAAGTGTGCGAGTGTAGAAGGAGAAGCATACGCCTCATGGTTGGGAAAAGTCCTGAGACCAATATTGCGTTTCCTCGGCAATTTTTTTTTCATTCGAGCATTACTTCGCACCCGTTTACACTCAAAGCCCGTCCAGAATCTATTGTAGTCGCAACCTCTAGTGCAATGCAATTTTTCCAGAAATAATACGACCCAATATGTATAGCCCTTTGTCTGTCGTTCCGTCTTTCGGTTTGTCCCTCTGTCACGAAGTTTCCTATTCCTTGAAATCCTCCTGGGAGGACTCTTTCAAGTGTTAGGAGATCAACTTTCCCCCCAATTCGTGAACCGGCACTAAAGCAGCATCAAAATACACTCAAAAAATTCTAAAAAAATATTAATTCACCAAATTTTGCTGGGTTGCACGGTTTCCATCGTAATGGTGGTCCACCTCTGAAGTAGTACAAAACATCATCAGCTAAGCGGTTCGCCCACAGTAGGCGTGGCGTGCATCAAAATGAGCGCACTAACGACAACATATCAAGTTCGATTCCAAAATAGCTCAGAGACTGGAAAAAAATAGTTGAAGATTTGCACTCATAAGCCATATCGAATTAGTGAGACCCCCCCCTTGGTGGGCGGGGCGTTCTCCAAAAAAGGTGCTTTATGAAAAATTTCATAACTCGGTTGGGAGAAAGCCTACAGAGCAGAAAAAATTGGTGTAGGGGAGCAATGTCTAAGGTGTTCCCAGCATACATGACGTGGGCGGAGGCCCGCCCACAATGGGCGGAGCGTGCTTGAAGTGGGCAGCGTTTCCTACATAATTTCCTCATAATTAATTTCCTCGTCCTCATAATTTCGTT